TTTTCTCAGAAGACTCGGAAAGTGGGAGGAAAGAAAGAAACAGCTGTGAAGTTATTGTCGGGTCCTCGAGTGGGACTCCGAGGGCGATTGTGAGCCCTCGGCAGGAGGTCCAAAGCCTCCCTTTTATAGGCTGTAATTGAAACATATTAATTAGATAATTTGTTGTTAGTTTAAAAGAAACAAATATAGCCCCTTCCAGGCTTCACGGAGCGGCCTTCTTTTCCCATCTCTCTCTCCCCACCCCCCACAAACCCGCCATCTCCTCCGGCGGGGCTGGGCGTTCATTTCCTTAATATGTATTATTCCGTGGATATATTCTGGGATTTTAGACTCAACAAGAAAGAAAGAAAGAAAGAAAGAAAGAAAGAAAGAAAGAAAGAAAGAAAGAAAGAAAGAAAGAAAGAAAGACTTTACTAAACTACATCCTCCTTTTTCCTAAGAAAGCCTTCCCACCCCCCTTTTTCTTTTTTGCGCAAAAGACAGGGCCTTCTAAACCTACCTGACTTAAAAGCGAAATTAAAAAGGGACGGGAGAGTCCGGGCTTTCTAGAAAGGGAAGCAAACTTGCATCAGGAAATTGCGCTGGCGAATTTCTGCTCCTTTTGTGTTCCCTGGACTCCGTTTTCCACTTGGGTGGGATGGGAGAGGTCGTGTTGCGTGGGGTGTGTCTGTGTGTGTGTGTGGACTGGCTTGCATCTGGAACTCCTGTGCTGGAATTAAACCAGGGGAGACCAGGGAAGAGGGAGAGGGGAGAAACAAAATAGGAAACAGGGAAGACTTTTTAAATATAATAATAATAATCAAAACAGCGGGAGCTTCTTTTGCGCAAATCGTGTCCAGCTGCGTGACGAGTTCGCGGCAGGTCTGAAAAACTGCGCAAAAATGAGGCAGTGCCGCGTGTGGGTTTTTGGGTTATCTCCCCACCCCATAGCGTGCGCAAGAGAACTTTGCATTGGATTCTGTTGGCCGGATTTGCTGGAGGCCTCGGGTCCGATCTTGGGGGTGGGGAGGAACCTCACCCTGACTCACTCCTTGGAAAGCAAGCTCTGCTTGACGTCCATCTGGAATCCCAACCCAAAGGGGGTGGGGGAGATATCTCCGGAGAGTTGGCTGCGAGGTAGAATCCCAGGGATCTCTCCCGGGATCAACTCCACATCTCGAGAGCAAGTCTGTCTCTGGGAATCGTCTCTGAATTTCTCTCTCTCTCTCTGTGTGTGTTTTGGTGTTGTTTTTAAGCAGACCAAAGAGGCTGGTTGAGGTAGCCAGGCAGGTGGCTGAGCGCTTGGAGGCCTGCGGTTTTTCAGTCTTCACCAGGTAACTTCTCTGGCAAGGCTCTTTTTACAACCGGACAGACTTGAGCGCCTCCTGAGTTTCAGCTTCGTGGTTTGTGCGCGCGTGCACAAAGGCGCCCGCCTCCCACAACAAACGCGCGCGCTCTAGAGTGGAAGTGGCTGGTGGAAAGGGCGACTCCCCTCGCTCAAGCAGACTTCCAGTGACTCTTTTTTTTTGGGGGGGGGGATGGGGTTAGGATTGGGTCCAGCGCCTGCAATCCTGGTCGTCTCCCATGGATAACAGTCCAGTGGATCGTATTGAGACAGGATTGCCGCCGAATGGGACGCAATCCAGCAAAAAGCCAAGAAATCCATTCATGGTTAACTCCCGTTGAAATTAGTAAAATAGCACCTGCGCACTATTCAAATACCTCTGATTTTAAACGAAAAAAAGCATGCCGTTAATACAAATCTGGATATTCAGGTTCCCAGTGGGTTTACTTCTTGGTCTGCCTGTACAGGATCCCAGCCATAATGACGAAGGCTAGCGAAGCACTGTGGTGCAAAAAATACTCTGTTAAAGCCTCCGCGTGATAGAAGGCGTGAAGGAGAATCTGGAACTTCACACGTTCACCTTCATGCGTGCCATTCACTACTGACCTGTTTTCTACATGACTATGCTTTAGCAATAATGCCTCGAGAAGGCATCTGAACCAGGAAACTCTTATAAATGGTTAGGAAATCGCGTGGTTAAGAGTTTTCCATATGGTTCCGTTCGACCTGCACGAAACCCACTCATTTCAGTAGAAAGAAATTCGAAGCTGTCTATTCAAATAGAAAAAAGAGGGGGACCCCCCACACACAATCATTCTCAAGGCTGTTTTATTTTTCTCCCCAGAGACAGCCTTTCCCTTCTCTCCCCCCCCCCGCCTTGTTTATTTAGGTCCTCTCCATATTGAAATAATGCAAATCAGCTTTGCATAAATTAACGTAGTTTTCTGTTCCACAGAGACGACCGGGGAAAGTGGCATTCCGGCTTTACGTATTTTAATGAGAAAATATTATTTGGACGGCTAGTTTCATAATTTAACGTACAGCACTCTTGAAAGCAAAACAAAACGTAACCAAAAGATAAAAAGCAAAAAAAAAAAGCCCCAAACATTCGTCGGAAAACACGCATGCTGGGAGGGAAACAAGAACATCCACATTTTAAATATCATGCTCGTTCTGTACAGGAAATATTTTTTAAGTAAAAAAAAAAAAGTTAGGACTTGATCCAGCGGGAAATTTTCCCCTGCCAAGACCCACCGAAATAAACTTCGGAGAGGGGCTTCGCCTTCTTACCCACCAAGCCCTCGCGAGCGCCTCTCTTTCCTTCCCACCAAATTTCCGGCTGGATCGGGCCCTGAATTTTCTTAACAGCTTCGGTTGAAACGCTTCGACGTCCGTGTTTAGTTCTGTTTTTGTCTTTTTCCTTTAACTTAAGCGGTTCACGCACAGGCGGATTTCCAGCAAACTACCTACAATTAGGAAGGGGGGGGAATACAGCGAACAAAAAGTGCATTTTACACTGTCGGTGGCCATTCCTATTCACAAACATGTACAGTTTCCCCGGGAGGGCCCCGCCCCGTCGACATCCCGCCACCCCCCTGCTCCCTCAGCTGGTTTCCAAAGATTTAACAGCAAAGATGGAGGAGAACTTAAAACAAAACAAAAAACCTTTAGGTCCATCATCCTCTTTCAAAAAGGTTAAAATAAAGCAACTCGGAAACTTGAGCCACTGAGCCAGGTTTTCTCTCGTTAAAAACACATTGCATGTTTTCAAAACGTTCTTAGAAGTATCTCCCGCTTAGAAATTAAACATTCAGAAGGGAAGAGTCAGGAAAACGTGAGGGCTAGGCGGAGAAAATCCTGCACTCCGGTGTAACATGTAGACGGCTTTGTAAACAGGAGGGAATCTGACCCAAGACAAGTATTTAGGAACAGCGGCGCCGTCCTAGGCATGTTTTGGCCGGAGATTTCACCACATTCAGTCTAGCCTTGCTCCCGGGAAAGCACCCTCAGGACTGCAGGGACACTGTGGACTGGCTTAAACGCAACAGGGACAGCAACCTTATTCACGGCACCTTTACCGGGAAGTAAATCCCACCGATTAATTCTCATCTGGTTACTCTAGGGTAAGCATCCCTGGTTTAGGTTGTGGTGGCCTCACACTTGAGGATGGAAACCCAGGCACACTTACCTGGGAGTAAGCCTTCCTGGGCACTGGCCTCGGAGCCCACCTGTACAGCATTGCCCCGTAAAACCTTTTTTAGAATGAATCGGGTTTTTTTAAAAAAAAACACCGTCTTAATTTTCCGTATTTTTTTAAAAAAAAGTCTCATGCCCTTTCCTTCTCTGCTTCCGCCCTTCCCACGTTTCCCTAAACTCGAATTATGCAGTTAAGAGGTTTCTTTCGGATTTTTTAAAAAAGGGACCAAGCCCGGCGCGGGAAGTAGGAACCCTTTTTCTCTTTTTTTGCGAGGGGTCGCTTTTTGGAGGGCCAGAGGGACTTCCTCCCATCCTATAAATAAACAAAGAAACGACCCAACGCCCTTTGAATGCGGCGTTTGGGAGGGAGGTCTCTTTAAAAAAGAAAGAAAGAACAGCCCAGCGTCTCTGGAAACCCAAACCAGGGGGAAAAGCGAGACTTCTCTGCAGCCACTTGAACATAATGGTGGCTTTTAATCTGATTCTCCCCCCCCCTTTTTTTTTCTGAAAAGGGAAAATCCTGGCAGGCGTGGAATAGAGGAGGAGAGAAAGGATTTGTGCAGACAAAACTGGACAAGGACGGGGCCCAACCGGAGGGAGACTCTCCCCTGCTTAATCTCTCCTGCAAGGAGCGACAGAAAGCTTCCTCCCTTTTCCACGCGGGCGCCTGCGGAGGGCGCGAAGATGCTTAAAAGTTCTGGAAACCTGGAAGCTGCTGGGGAACATCGGAGGAGGGTGGGGAGTGGAGGTGGAGGGCGTGGGGTTTAGGGGAGACCCGGACCCCCCATCCACCCCCCCACCCACGCGCCCGCACTGTTTCACAAAGTAGGAGCGACAGAAAGCTTCCTCCCTTTTCCACGCGGGCGCCTGCGGAGGGCGCGAAGATGCTTAAAAGTTCTGGAAACCTGGAAGCTGCTGGGGAACATCGGAGGAGGGTGGGGAGTGGAGGTGGAGGGCGTGGGGTTTAGGGGAGACCCGGACCCCCCATCCACCCCCCCACCCACGCGCCCGCACTGTTTCACAAAGTCAAGACCGTTCGCACCCGCGGGCATGTCC